ACCTGTGTGTTTGTGGATTTAGTTAACCTCCTTGGAATTTAGTTTTGTCTTTTAGTCCTTTCTTTTTTCTTTTCTTTTTTTTTTTCCTTTGGTTTTTCGAGACAGGGTTTCTCTGTGTAGCTTTGTGCCTTTCCTGGATCTCACTCTGTAGACCAGGCTGGCCTCGAACTCACAAAGATCCTCCTGCCTCTGCCTCCCAAGTGCTAGGATTAAAGGCGTGTGCCACCACCGCCCGGCTAAAGTAATTTTTGAAGGGGAAATTCATCAAGTTTTTCTCTGGCTTTGAACTTTTTTTTTTCCTTTTTCCCTTGGCTGTCCTGGAACTCGTTCTGTAGACAAGACAGCAAGACAGGCTGGCCTTAAACTCACAGAGATCCTCCTGCCTCTGCTTCCCAAGTGCTGGAATAAAAGATGTGCACCACCACTTCCCAACTTGCTTTGAGTTTTACTTTTATTATGTTTTGAGACAATATTAGATACTTCCAAAATACTTTCAGTTAATTCTATCATATACCATCTATGGATGTTGTCATTTCTAAAATATTGTATGAGAAAAATTGAGCTTTAAATTAAATATTTAAGGCTGGATTAAGACAAACCTGTCTGTAGATAATTTATAGCTAGGACCATAATTTTAGTGATGATTCAGAAAATGCTACTTTAACTGAGAAACAGTAATGATTGCCAAAAAAATTTTTTTTTTTTTGGTTTTTCGAGACAGAGTTTCTCTGTGTAGTTTTGGTGTCTGTCCAGGATCTCGCTCTGTACTCAGAGATCTGCCTACCTCTGCCTCCCAAGTGCTGGGTTTAAAGGTGTGAGCCACCATCGCCTGGCGATTGCCAAAATATTTAAGACCATAAACTGTTAAGATATCTCAATATGTTAAAATATTAACCACCTTATTTTGTATTTAGGGGCAGATTGCTGTCAGTAAAGATTATAGGGGATTACACAATTTTATATTTTGGAAATGGTACTGACTGATAATTCCTTTTTAGAGAAAAGGCATGTCCTTTTTGTGGAGACATAAGTCTGTGAGCAATGGAGGAATGTGTTTGACAGTCCATTTGGAGGCTGTTGTTACCTAGAGGTTATTATCAGGATGCTGTGGTACTCTCTTTTAAAGGTGGAAGGCATTGGATAGTTTTATTGGTCAGCCAATGACAAAGAGGTATGCATTTGTACTTCAAGATAATAGTTTTTAGGATCTTGACCTGGACCTTTGCATGTGAGAAAGGACTGTGATGCTGTAATCTCCAAATACTTCCAAATACCTAAAAAAAAAATTTTTTTAAATACCTTTTCTAATAGAGGAGTTGAATATTGAGAAAATTTTATTGTGTGTGAAATTAGCACTATGTATTATCATGTAAACTAAAGAAATCTCTTATTTTCTTAAGGGTAATAATGAAATAATGTTGATTTTCAGGTGTTCTTCTGTATGGACCTCCAGGCTGTGGGAAAACGTTAATTGCCAAAGCTACAGCCAAAGAAGCAGGCTGTCGATTTATTAACCTTCAGCCTTCGACACTGACTGATAAGTGGTATGGAGAATCTCAGAAACTGGCTGCTGCTGTTTTCTCCCTTGCCATAAAGCTACAGCCTTCCATCATATTTATAGATGAAATAGGTATGCTGATTTCTGTGTGAGCATCTTATTTTAAAGGTGCTGTGTAGAGAGCCAGATTTAATTTTAGTATTTATGTACATCTGTGGTAAACCAAAAGATTTGTTGTTGTTGTTTTTAAGATTTATTTATTCACATATTTTTTGTATATGAGTGCTCTGTCTTCATACACACCAGAAAAGGGAATCAGATCCCATTATAGATGGTTGTGGTTAGTGGGAATTGAACTCAGGACCTCTGGAAGAGTAGTTAAGCACTCTTAACTGCTGAGCCATTTTCTAGCCCCAAGATTTGTTCTTTTTAAAGAATTTGTATGGTTGAGTGTGCCATTGTATACATATGGAGGTCAGAAGGCAGTTTGGTCGAGTGGTTCCTCCACATTTACACAGGACTGGAGAGATCAAATTCCTGCCACCAGGTTTATACACTTATAGCTTTTACATCTGAGCATCTTGCTAGCCTCAAAATATCTATTCTAATATGCCATATATAATTTCCATGATGTAAAATGGACCATAAGCTTGTTTACTCCATTATCTGATTGCTGGATGTCTTTTCTCAACTTTAAATAGTATGTATGTTGTAGACATACACATGTGTGCATATGATCATCTGTAGTTGAAAGTTTTTCTGTGTCTCGCCTGGTCCACAGCCTCTCAGACCCAAGTAAACACACAGAGGCTTATATTATTTTTAAACTATGGCCATGGCAGGCTTCCTGCTAGCTAGGTCTTACATCTTAAATTAACCCATTTCTATTAATCTATGTTTTGCCACTTTTTTTGTGGCTTTACCTGCATCCCATTACATGTTGCTTCTTGGGTGGGTGGCTGGTGTCTCCTGACTGAGCCTTCCTCTTCCCAGAATTCTCCTTTTCTGCTTATCCCGCCTATACTTCCTGCCAATCAGCATTTTATTTATCAACCAATCAGAGCAACACATTCACAGCATACAGAGCACCATCACCCATCAATTGTCTATGGTAAATACCTAGACGCTGAACATCCTTTAACCAAGGGATTACTTGCTTTTGAAAATGCTACACACACACACACACACACACACACACACACACACACACACACACACACACCAAAAAAAGAAAATGTTGCACTAATCTGGGAGAGGTGGGGTGTATGCCTGCACTCCTAGCACTGGAGAGGCTAATAAAAGAATCAAGAGTTCCAGGCCAAAGATTGGGAATGAAATTCAGTTGGTAGAATGCTTACCTAGCTTGTATTAAAGCTTGGAGTTCAGTCCCAACATCATAGATATAAACTGGGCCTGTTGGCACATACCTGTGATTCTAGTGTTTTAGGGATAGACTTGAGGATTAAAAGTTCAATGTCTTTTGTAGCCACTACATAGTGAGTTCAAGGCCAATCTGGTCTAAATGAGACTCTGTCATGAAACAAAACAAAATGGAGGTGGAAAAAAAGAAATTGTCTTTTATTTTTTTAATTGCATATATTGTGAGTAGGAATTTAATTTTACTCTTGCATTTGGATAGGTAACATAAAAAAAAAATTCTTCCTTTTATGTCCTGAATTTTAGTTGACTCTAAATTTTTGGCTCATCTATATTTTTGTTCTTAGTAGAATATATTTTCATAAGGGCTGTAGAGATGGCCCACTGGTTAAGAGCACTAGCTCTTAAGAGGACCTGAGTTTGGTTCCCAGCCCCCACCCATGTTAGGTGGCTTATAAATGTGTGTAACTCCAGATACACGGAATATAGCACCCTCTTCTGGCCTTTGTAGGTACCCAAACATGTGGCAGATACACATAAATTTAAAAAAAAAAGTAAATCTTAGAATTTTTAATTAAAATCACCCCCACCCCACCCCAGGATTTCTCTGTGTAACAGCCTTTGATATCCTAGAACTTACTTTGTAGACCAGGCTGGCCTTAAACTCACAGAGATCCATCTACATCTGCCTCCTGAGTGCTGGGATTAGGCATGTGCCACCACCCCCTAAAATATATTTTTATATTGTTTAATTATTAGGGCTTTTTACATATTATTGCTAAATTATGCAATTTTATGTAGTATGATAGGCTAAATAAAACCAGAGAAGTTCAAGGATTTAGTTTAGTGGTTGAGTGCTTACCTAGCATATGCAAAGCTCTATATTTAGTTTCTAGTACTGAAAAACAAAACAAAATTAAAACTAGTTAAAAAAAAAAAAAGCTGGAGAGTTGGCTTAGCTGTTAAGAGTGGTTGCAGGCCAGGTGTAGAGGTGCACACCTTGAATCCCAGTACCCAGAGGCAGAGGTAGTTGGACCACTATGAGTTTGAGGCCAGCCTGGTCTGCACAGCAAGTTCCAGGACAGCCAGGGCTGTTAACAGAGAAACCCTGTCTCATTAAAAAAAAAAAAAAAAAAAAAAAAGAGTTGTTGCTGCTCTCCCAGAGGACCTAGCAGGCACCTTGGATGTACTTTTAATTCTAGGGGGTCTGATGGACTCTACTGGCATCTGCAGGCACTCCTAGTCTCTCTCTGTCTCTCATTTACTCTCTGTCCCACACATACTCTTAAGAATAAATCTTTTCCGGCTGGAGAGATGGCTCAGCAGTTAAGGGCACTGGCTGTTCTTCCAGAGGTCCTGAGTTCAATTCCCAGCAACCACATGGTGGCTCACAACCATTGGTAATGAGATCTGGCGCCCTCTTCTGGCCTGCATGTATAAAGAGAGAAGGTGCCTAATAAATTTTTTATTACTTGTCCTGTGTATTTGTTCATCTCAGTTTACTCTTTCAGCTCATTTTGAGTTTTTGGTGTATATCTTCATTGAACAAAAAAGCTTATAGCTAGATTTTTTTAAACTTTAAAACACAACTCTCCTTTAGCTGGAAAGTATCTAATTTATATTTATTATGAAAACTAATACAGTCACATTTATTTCCAGTTTGCAATCATTATGAAAGCTGATGTAGTCAACATTCATTTCTGTTACATAATTTTGTTCTTTTTGTTTACCAGTCTAGTGGATAACCTACCCCTTTAGAATTTTACTTTCCCTTCTATGCATTTGAGGCTATCTGTTCTTTTTCTTCTATTGAAACAATTTATATACCTACTTATCTTAAAAAAGCCTAAAGCTGGGCAGTGGTGGCGCACACCTTTAATCCCAGCACTTGGGAGGCAGAGCCAGGTGGCTCTCTGTGAGTTCGAGGCTAGCCTGATTTACAGACAGAGCTCCAGGACAGGCACCAAAACTGCACAGAGAAACCCTGTCTTGAAAAACAAAAGACAAACAAACAAACAAAAAAGCCTAAAGCTTCCCAGGCATGGTGGCTGACACCAGTAATCCCAGTACTTAAGCTGAGACTGGGTTTGTGTGCATTCAAGGCCGTCTTGGGCTACAGAATGCGACTCTGCCTTAAAAAAACAAAACCAAAATCTTATTTATGCACATGCACACATTCATGCTTAATTACCATCTACAGAACTTCTTGGGTCAAGTGTTCAGATCTTGCCTTTTTTTAAATTAAATTTGTTGGCTTAGTTTTGGATTTTAAGTGCTGGATTTATGTTTGAATTGAGTCTGTAGCCAGCCTGGTCTACAGAGTGAGTTCCAGGACAGCCAGGACTGCTGCACAGAGAGATCCTGTCTCAAAAACAACCAAAATAAGAAAAAACGAAAGCATGTTGTGAAATGGTCTGTATTTGAAGGCAGAAAATAAATTTTCCCCCCTTTGGTTTTTCGAGGAAGGGTTTCTCTGTGTAGTTTTAGTGCCTGTCCTGAATCTGGCTCTGTAGACCAGGCTGGCCTCTAACTCACAGAGATCCGCCTGGCTCTGCCTCCCGAGTGCTGGGATTAAAGAGAAAATAATTTTAAAGGGAATGTTAAATTGTCTTTAAAGGCAAACATCTCTGAGAAGCAAAGGCTCTACATTTTGTTTACTTAAGGCTTTTTGTCAAGTACACACATACACACATGCTAGTACATGTGTTTAAACCATTTTCTGTTTTCACTTTTTCTCCCTTATTAGTATTTTAGGCAGTTGTTCTTTTTGTGTATTACCAAGAGAGTATGGGGAGGGAGGAGTGTACGATAGCGTAATTAAGAACATAAAGGATTCAGGTAATTAGAAAGGTAGAGCCACATACCTAGGCTCTCTCCTAAGACTCTCTACTTGGCCCCCTGTCCAGCCTCTCATATTAGAACCTTTTTAAAAATCTCTTCTGTATATTGACATGCATGTATTTTTTGGATAGAAAGATTATGAACTGATTGTGTTTAATTTGCTCAAGAATTTACCAGGTTTTTTTTTTTTTTTTAATCAGGATAATTGAAACAGCATAAATAATCCCCAGCCCTCTTTCTTGTTTTATGAAGTTGACAGCTTTTTAAAAATTTTAAGCTATAACATGGATAAATAATCCACCATTAGTTACTAAGCTTAAGGACCTTTTTCTTTTAGACTCCTTTCTACGAAACCGTTCAAGTTCTGACCATGAAGCTACAGCAATGATGAAAGCTCAGTTTATGAGCCTCTGGGATGGACTGGATACGGATCACAGCTGCCAGGTATTTGAATAGATTCTTCCCTAAACGTGAATGGTTTTGTTTTCAATAGGGAATTTGCTGGGGTGTTTACAGCACTTTTATACAGAAGTCTTTTTCATTATTTTTACACTTGGTGTTAAGTAATAAGGATCATGATTTTTATGACCTTTACCTATCTTAATGCTTGCCAGCAGGTTTATATAATTAGAGGAGCTCACATGCCCTGTAGAGTTGCTGCTGTATGACTCTGAACTCCAGAGTACATAGAATCAACAATGATTTGTATTTGCCTCTATCAGTGTTCCATTAATGGTCATAACCAAAAATAATGCTCTGTGTGTAGAGTAGATTCCTAGAAGAGGAGAATACAAAATTAAAATGAAGAGAAATGAGACTTTACAAGTAGTCTTAACCCTTTTATATTGCAAATATAAGCCATGCTTAACTCGGGTAATTTCTGGTAAAGGTGTATGTGAAACAAAATACTGTAATCTTATCCCCTGGAGCCACCCATGTGTTCAGTCCCGAATGTGGCTGTGAACTAAGAACTCCTCCCCACTAATCAAGACAAGACCACAGTGCACATTGGCCTCCACCTGTAGTCCTAGCTACACAGGACGCTGGGAGTGAAAGTTTATGGCCAACCGGAGCAACAACATGGTGAGACCCCATTTCACACAAAACCTGGAAGTTTTGTAACTAGAGCCAATCAGATAATTTATTTTGCTTCCACATTTCTCCCTTAAATACTGACTTCTGACAGATTCACTATCATACTACTGAATATTTTTAATTTGGTGTTTCTAGTTAATCTTTTTCTTTTTCTATGAAAAAAAATCTTTAAAATTTTTTTTTAGAAATGATTTATTTTTATTTTACATGCATTGGTGTTTTGCTTGCATGTGTGCCTGTGTGGAGGTGTCAGATCCCCTGGGACTGGAGTTACAGTCCATTGCGAGCTGCCTTATGAGTGCTGGGAATTGAACCTGGGTCTTCTAGAAGAGAAGGCAGTGCTCTTAACTGCTGAGCCGTCTCTCCAGCCGCTAATAAATTATTCTTAAAAAACAAATTACAACACTGGGGAAGGAGAGATCATTTAGAAAGTATGAATACAGGCTCTTCTTGCAGAGGACTCCGGTTCAGTTCCCAGCACCCATGCTGTGCCTCACAAGCACATATAACTCCAGTTCAGAGGATTCAATAGGCATGCAAAGCAGTGCACATAAACTCATAAAGTAAGACTAAAATACATATTTTTTTTTTTTTTTTTAAAGATTTATTTATTTATTATGTATCCAGTGTTCTGTCTGCA